TCTCTGAAATCAATTAAAAAATATATATATATATATAATTTATTTCAATAAGATAATAATTATACTTTTAATAGCCATCAATAGAAAACATATATGCCAGAAAGGATACATTTAGTAACTCTTTAAGTGAATTTGTATTTTAGTCTCAAAAGCATCTTAATGTATTTGAAAAATCGTAGTGCAAGGCAAATGTGTTGTCAGCCAGCCTGCCTGGGATGCTTATTGGAGCCTCTATCCAAAACCTCCACTGCCTCTGCTGTGTCACAGGGCCTGAAGCCACCAGGGGTCTGGGGGGTCCCCTGCTCTGGCCTCTGGGCAGGGTTGTCCTCGTGCCATCTCAGAACCAAGGCTAGTGCTCCCTGGGGCAGACCCCATCCTTTTGCATGGAAATGGCCCCTGTCTTCCAGGAACCGTTGACTGGGGAGGGGTGGCCGAACCCCCAGGCAGCCAGCTCTACCACAGCCTGCCCGCCCCACACCCTGCCACCTGGGCAATGGTGGAAAATCCTAAATTTGTATCCGGAGACTGTTTCCTGCATCACTTACCGCTCTGAGCTGTTTATAATTCCACCCGGTTTACAGTGACCTGGACAAATATTTAATCCTCAGTCTTCCTAATAGCTTAAATCAGAGCTGTCAGCCCATGGCCAGGGTCTGGTTCCGGCTTGCCGTGAGCAGTGCCTCCTGCCAAGCCAAACACAAGCCTGATGAGTGGCTGTCCTCAGCACACCGGTCCGGGCCGCGGCCTTGTTTGGATTGCCTGTGCTCTTGGGCTTTAATGAGGAAATTCATGCTTCTGTCATCATCCTAACGGCCGGTCACATAACTCATCTGAGGTGCATTAAAGCTGGGGCTGGTTTCCAATGTAAGTAACTCTAAAAGGAGGGGCAGGGAAGCAGTGAGAGAGACGAGTCTAAGTTAATGATGCGCAGCTTCTGAGCAAACGGGAAATGCGGGCTGTGGGTTAGCCATGTGTCCCAGATGAGCCTTGGAGAAATGACTGTGGTTGCCTTGGATGGGAGATGAAGGGGTTCCATCACTTACCGCTGATGATGAGGAGGGAATATGCACGGTTATGCAGGCTGCCTCCTTTGATAAGATTGTAAGCAAGATAGTTGTTATTCTCTTTTAACAGATGAGGAAACTGAGGTTCAAGTGATTTAAGTGATTTTCCCATGGTGGTTTATCTAGTAGGAGGCAGTCAGGATTTGAACCCAGATTTGTCCGCCTAGAAAAAAAAATAGGCTAATTTCTACCACACTACATTTTTTGCTCCTAATCTGTCCACTGTGCTTGGCCTTCGGTTGATTGCTAAATGAAGGTTTGCACAGAAATGCATTGAGCAGTCCGCTCAGTGTAGACAGGACACTACTCTGTGGGTGCCAGTGCATTCTGTTGGCAGCCCCAGAAATGGACACCAAGAGTGGGGCCAGAGCTGTGGGGTCCCGTGCAGGACTCCGACCTCCTTGGGAGTGTGCCTCCTTCATTGGATTCTCCTGTAGGAAGTAAGTTGACCAGATGAGACCCAGTCATCACCAGGGGTAGTGAGAAGGGTTTTAAAATATTTAGGTGAGGAGTGATCTGTGTTTTCAAAAGATGGCTCTGCTGGCTGACACGGGTGGTTAGCAGGGGAGGAGGCTCTTCGGGTCATCCAGGAGAGATGACCAGGGCCTGGATGGGGGCAGCCTCAGGGGGG